CAATAAAATGAGCACGGCCAGATAAAGAGATCTGCCCTACTCTCTTAGAAAAAAATCTCTAAATGTGGCAGATTACTCAAGGCTTCTTTCTCAGTAATACTCTCAGAAGTACTAGCAACTACACTCTTCCCAGCTTCTTTTTGCTCTCTGCACCACTTCCATTTCAGTACACTGTTCTTTGTTGAAGATCCATCTATTTCTTGTTTTTCAAAACCACCACATAATATATATGGTCAGCCTGATTATGTTCTTCATAGTGGGGAGTGATATTGCACTGCAGATGTCCTCCCACCAATGGTTGAAGGATATACAAGGCATCTTGTCAATCTTACTCCACTGCAACCCATTGATTTTCAGCAGTTTATGGCCCCTTTGACAGTTGAAAAATAGGGGTTCAAGGCCTTTCTTTGCCTCCCCATAGAAATCATATATTGTGTTCATGTGGATCCTTTTTACTTCAATCTCAATTTTGTGCTTATGAAGCCTTTTGCAGCACCTCCAGATGAAGTTTCTGAGTTTGTTTTGAATTGGTAGTTTCCAAGACACATCCCACATCTTTTCAATACCAGATATGCCTTTGCTGGTCTCAGATATTTTGCAAGTGACAAAAGATGGCTTTTGAAGAATGTGAAAAACTTGAATTTTTTCATACAAATATAAGAATTTTATCTTTGTAAGTGAGAAGAGATGACTTACGATTTGTTGTGAACTTCAAGTCTTTATCAATTTATTATTTTCTATGAATTTTTAATGACAAAATATAAGTCGATAAAAAATTTCATGTACATAAAAATAAATATAATAATAAAATATTTTAGATGTTCGGATTCAATACACATATATCTCTAGAGAGGTTATAATAATTTTCAATTATCTAGAGCTCCTTACAAATCATATCACCTTGTAATATGTATATATTAAACTAATGAATATATTACATAAATATTAATCACAGATTGCTTGGAAGAATATGTTCAATAAAATATGATATTTTTTTTCTCAAATGACTCCCATCATATTAAAAAAATAAATAAATGTATGAAGATGCGGGGAATCGAACCCTGTATTTCTTGTAAGATAACCTAAAATATAACCATTGAGCTACATCTTCTTTTTGTTCAAACCATGTATATATAAATCATTCAGCACCAATATAAAAAGACACATATTCAAACAAAAAATTGTGAAGATCAAATAATTATAGAACATATTTAAAAATTGTTTTTTGCAAGTGATAAGAGATGACTTTGAAATTGTTGGTGAACTCTAAATCTTTATCAAATTATAGTTTTTTTTTTCTACCCAACAAAAAATTGGTGTCCTCTCACTCGACAGGTAAATGAGAGATTGTTCTAAATTCTAAAAATCACTAATTAATGGATAAATTTGAGACGAAAAATTTATTTGGCCAAATGGAAAACATAAGAAGTTAGTGGATTAAGACTACTTTTCTCGGTGACCCATTGAGTGGGTCACCGATTTAAAACAATCCGAGGTCACATTGTGACCCAAGGTTGCAACCGTAAAATGGGACACTTGTTCCTTTTTGATTGGCCAAAACTAATTTATTTTATTTAAAAAAATAAAAAATAAATACTAAAATTTATATTTTTTTTATTCTCTACAAATAAAGACAACACTTGATATCTTTTGGAACACAGTTGCATTTTGTAGATAAACTAAAATAAAATAAATAATTAGGTTGAGTTGGGTTGAGGATAAAGATAAATTTGATGGTAAGATTGAGTTGTGTAGGTGAAGGAGAGAAAAATAATTTTTAATTTAAGGTTGGATTGGGACGCTGGGAATAAGGATAGTCTAATAGGTGAAGTTTTCTTATATATTTCTTATATATAGGGGTGTATTAAGTTAGGCTTGTGAAAGAGCTTAAGCCGTCAAGCCCCTGTCCCATTTTTTCGTGCAATCATGGAGATGGAGATCGATTCCCCACGACAATCGCTCGCTGAAAAGTTTGAGGAAACCCTAAGAATAGAGGAGGATGATGATGATGAATATGTCGAAGAACAAGAAGAATCGTCATCATCATCATCTTCAGAAGAAGAACCACAACAACCAGAACAACGACAACAACAACAACAGCAACAACAAGTGCCACGCGGTTACAATCCCATGTCTGTAATCTGGGTTGAGCCACAAGAAGCACAACCCGATTATACCTATCAACAACTCTGCTTTGAGATAGCCGACGAGGTCGCCAAGGATTTCATCCACCAAGTCCACGAAAATCGGGTACACTGTTTCGACTAATCTATCAATACCAAACTGTTTTGTAAGGGTTTTGGGGTTCTCAATCTAATTTGATGTTTTGTGTTTGGGAACACAGCACACATACTAATAGAAAATGAAAAACGTGTAGAGATTGATTGTTGAGGATTTGATTTTCAGTTTGGCGAGTTTCCGTGGCCACCTGATCTTAATTGCCCACTGTACCAATTTGGGTATATTTCTCGGTTCACAATAGAGTTGAAGCCTGAAGATGTGGAATCTATGGTGGCGAAGTATTCGATAAAATCGACGCCTGAAGAAGTGAAACGTGCTAAGCGATTTCTAGAGCAACTCCGGAGCAGCTGGGTAGCTTTAATTTCTTTCTTTCACAATTTTTTGATTATTGCTAATTATATATATTTATATATGTTGAAAATATTGCTAATTCTTTTTTGGTGGAATTCGNATGGTCCATTTTTTCAGAAAATGGGCAAAAATGACAACATGTTGGAGCTTAAGAGCCTTGACAAGGCTGTGAGGTGCGGGCTCAGCGTGTATCTTGTGAGCTTTACGGTGAAGGATGTTTTTGGTGATGCCATAAAAAAAGTGAGGGCATCGGTTGGGTTTGCATCGTCAGCTCCAGCTCCCATTCTGATGGAGTGCAAGCTTGTGCCATAGTTGATTTTCCTCCTACTATTCGATGTGACTACACTTGGCATTTTTAATTTCTCTTGCCCTTTTATTTTGTTTGGTTCCCAGACTGTTTGACTTATTTATTTTCTTCCATGACCCAAGATCATCTCTCATATGTATTGCTGGTTAGTAGGACTGAGCATGGGACCCGTAGAATTTCGAACCGTTCCAAAAACCGAACTAGACCGTTTGACTTTCTCCGAACCGGACCTAACCGAAAAAACAATTGGTACGATTCTTGAGGTTTCACAAATATACATACCGATAACCGAATCGAATCGTCTCATACCGTATCGAACTGAAGAATCGAAATTAAGAACCGAATTATAAAAATAGATGCGTGTTATTAATATATTTTAGGTCAACTTTGATTCTTTATAATTTGAGAATTTTTAAAATGTAAATAAAATATAGTAATTAATTAAGATTCACTTAAATTTCATGTTTAGTAATACTTGATCTACAAGTGAATTTCTCCTATTTTACAAAAAAAGGGAATAAAAGATTAAAGATTTAAAAGAATAAAAATAAAATATTTAAGTTTTACTTAAAGCTGTCGATACTTAGCCTTATTCTATCTTATAACTAACAGGGTATGGAAGGTTAAATAAATATTACTTTAACATAAACTATATTATATTTTGTTTGAATTTTATAGTTAAATTTCGTCTTAACTAAAATTTAGGTTACTTCTAAAGTTGATTTAAAAATAAAATCCTTAGTATGATGAAGTATTGATGAATGTTGGATTTTTTTAAAAATAAATATATATAAAATAAAATATAACTAGGTGGTCATTCAAAAAATTTTAGAAATAATAAGAAATCTCCGAATATCTGAACTGAACCGAACCGTTCTGATAGTCCCGAAAATCGAATCGAACCGAACTGAAATATAAAAATCTCCGAACCAGACCGAACCGATTTTTTGGTATGGTTCTAGAGATCGAATTTTAGTGATCTTCGAACTTCGATACGGTTCTGGAGATTTATCAATCTCTGAATCGTACCCATGCTTAGGGTGACTGCTCATTTTTCTATCCCATTGAACTTATGAGCAGTGGGAATCTGAACCCGACTGAATGTACAAGATTCCTACCCTGGCATAAGTTCTACTGCCACCATGCATATCTCTCCGGACCTGTGGTATAAGCATTTGCTAGGAACCACCAATTTTTCAACAATCAACTACATGAGCATGTAATGTGTCAAGTGTTTATAGCGGCTTCCATTCTTTCCTGAAACTAAAACAAAAGAAAGTACGTTAGTTTTGGACTAATGTTCTTCACCCCTTTGGATATATGGTGTGCCGAGTAAAAGTCTTCCTCTTCATTATTGTAGCGTATACATCATGGGCCAACGTTTAATCATAAAATATTATTTTGTACCTTTTTTCTTTTCCAACAACTTAGTCTGATGATATATGGATAAAAAAAATCAATCATTTTTAACTTAATTATTTTTTTTAAAATCAATTTTTAACTTAAGTCTATTGTTATTAATATAATTAAATAATATCAAACAATCATTTTTACACTTTGCATTAACTTTAATTACTATTTATCTACTCACATAATTTTAAAACAAAATTGTAATTTTAGTCCTACTGCTTTGGGCTCAGGGCATTTTTAATCTTGGAATCTAAGCTTTTTTTTATTTTGTCCTATAATTTAAAAAGTCAACGCAATTTTAGTCCTTCCGGCCCAAAAGTCAAAATTGTGACCGGAATTCACACGTGACCTGCACGTGATGAGCTTAGGTCCGTTTTCCGCTAACATGGCATTGCAAAACGTGTACATGGCAAAAAAATAATTAAAATTTATCAAAAAGATAAATAAAAAAAAAAAACCACGTGGACATACTAGGGGTGAGCATGGGTCAGTATGGTTCGGAGATTGACAAATCTCCGGAACCGTACCGATATTCGGAGATTACTAAAATTCGATCTCTGGAACCGTACCAAAAATTCGGTTCGGTTCGTAGATTTTTATTTTTCGGTTCGGTTCGGTATTCGGGACTATCGGAACGATTCAGTTCGGTTTGGTTCGGTTCGGATATTCGGAGATTTTTAAGTATTTTTATAATGTTTTTGGATGACCACCTAGTTATATTTTAATTTTTATATTTTTTTTTAAAATCCAACATTCATCAATAATTCATCATACTAGAGGTTTTATTTTCAAATCAATTTTAGTTAACTCTATATTTGTGCAACTAATATTGAAAATTTAATTCAAACAAAATATAATATAGTTTTTATTAAAATATTATTTTTTTTAACGTTCCATACCATGTTAGTTATAAGATAGAATAAGACTAAGTATCGACAAATTTATGTAAATTAAATATTTTTTTAAAAAAATATTTCTTTAACATTTCATTCCATTTCAATTTATTTTTTTTAAAACAAGAAAAATTCAATTGTATATCAAGTATTATTAAGCATGAAATTAAGTGGAGCTAAATTGTTATTATTATATTTTATTTGTATTTTGAATAATCTTAAATTATATAGGATCAAAGTTCACATAAAACATATTAATAACACACATCTATTTTTATAAGTTCTTCATTTTGGTTCTTCGGTTCGGTACAGTATAGGACGGTTCGGTTCGATTCAGTTCGGTTCTCAGTATGGACATTTGTGAAATCTCCAGAACGGTACCAATTATTTTTTCGGTTTGGTTCGGTTTGAAGAAAGTCAAACGATCAACGAATATTTTTCGATTCAGTTTTCGGAACGGTTTGGAATTCTTCGAGTCCCATGCTTAGCCTAGGGCATACATTTGTCAATCCCCAAATTATCAAATATCTCCCCCAAATTACAATTCTCAGCCCCAAAAAAATATCGAACGAGTATCGTGGGGAGGCGTCGAGGGAGAATCGAGGATCCGTGTCGATGGATCTTCGGCCGAACCCGTAATCGGTGATTTCGGATTGGGTTTCATGGTAATGGTCTAATGGGGAGACGGCGGGGGAGGGTTTCGCCGGTGTTCTGTTTCTTGGACTTCTACTTGTGCCGCCATTTGCGCTATTTGTTGTTGAAGACGAAGGCGACGACCCAGAAACCGTCGGTGGCGGCAGCGGCAGAGGTTTTTTTTTGGCATGGGCATAGGCGGCGAGGTCGATGTGGTTCTTTATGGGTTTTGGATTGGTCTAGATGATTCCACAATTTCGGAGATGTTCGGGTTAATTCGGACTGGGTGTCAGGGGTTCGGGTGACGAGTGTCGTCGACGGCGACGGAGGCGGCAGGCCTGATTTCGTCATCCTTGTCGACATAATCGTCTGGCGGGGGGTAATTTCGTCTAGATTTTCCGGCGGGTCCTTGAAATCCTCTTCGATTCCAGTTTCTTCCGGGACAGGTTTATTTGCTATGTGAGATTCGATTGGTTTTTAGCTGCTGATTTGGGGGTTTTGGTGGGAGGAGGAGGCGGTGGGGATGGGCCAATCGGAAGTTGTGACGGTGGTTTGTGCTCCCGTCGTCGAGGGAAAATAGCGACGAGAGTGTTTTTAAGGCTACGATATTTGATTTTTTTTTTTTCAAGGATCAAGTGATATTTGATAATTTGGGGTTTGACAAATATATGCCCACGTGTTTTTTTATTACTTTTTTTTTATAATTTTAATTGTATTCTATGTCATGTCCATGTCAGTGAAAAACGAACCTAAACTCGCCATGTGTGAATTTCGGCCACAATTTTGACTTTGGGACATCTAAACAACTAAAATTGCGTTGACTTTCTAAATTATAGGATTAAATAAAATAATGCTCGAATTCTAAAATTGCCACGGGTCCAAAGCAGCAGGACCCAAATTATAATTTTGCCTAATTTTAAATAAGTACACTTTACATTATTTCTCTCATACTTTCACATCAAAATTACCTTTAATTATTTTATTTTAAATATTATTTTAATATAAATTTAAAATCTCACTAACAACTAATCATACTACATTTTTCAGAATTAACTATGGTTAACAAAAAAATCATTCAAAACCAAATCAAATCCGTATACATCGTACCAATAAACTCAAAAAATGTGCACACATGTCATCAACTGATTACAAGAAAGTCAAATCTAACAACACCCTAAATCCAACAATATCCTACGGCCTCGTTTATTTTGGTAGATAGGACGGGATAACTAAAATTATCGCGGAATAGCTAATGTTTACTTTTAAGGAAAATGATACAATTGACATACATGTGGCATGCAGGGCCCACATGCTTATCAGGTATTAGCCGATTAATTCATCCCAAACTGGACCTCGGATTTTTTTATCCTGCCCGAGCATGGCCATTTTGTCTTCAAAAGTTCTCGCGAAAAGGCAAAAATACCCCTCAAATTCTTTTAATTTACAATCAAATACCATATAAATATTGAAATTTTTCATTTTGCTAGGTTTGCATAGACGGGCTCCCCCGTTTTGATTTTAATTCAACTCATTTCAGTTGAACCAAATATCCAAACTCAGGCTCCCCGATATCACCGCACCAGTCGTGAAGCTCAGAGGCGGCGGCGGCGGACGAAGTGGAGGAGAGACGGCGGCGACGAAAGAAGTGGAGGAGAGGTGCCGTCAATTTTCACATCCTTCGCCGAGGTGCCGCCTCCTGCGGCGGCGGCGGAGATTGTGACCGGCGCGTTGACGCAACTCGACGGATTCCAGCTCTTCTCCTCTTCACCGGCATTATCAAAAATGGATCTTCACCACCGCCCAACCTCTTTTCTCAAAACCATACCCGCCACTCGGATTTGGGATTTTCGCCTCTGATATTAGGGTCCTATCTTGTCAGGGGCATAAGCACTTCACTCGCAAGGGGATGGGATTCATTCACTAAAGCAAGTTGGTTTGGTCTAGAGCTGGAGATTCCAGATTAGGTTGCAGTGGACGAAGTCAAATTAGGAGCATATTTGAGAGGGGAAATTGAAAGAAATGGGAAGGAAGAAGAAGACTATTAAGGCTATAATTGGCATTTCTAGATATATCCTTTAATTTTATCCAACTAAGTAAATGTAAGACTATTCTTGAAAAAGCACATCATTGTTTGTAAACATCATATAAAAATGAGTTAATTGCAAATAAAATCCTAACCTTTTGTTGAATTGCAGATAAAACTCCACTTTATAAGTTTGACAAAAAAAATAATAATCTTTCATAAGTGTTGCAATTGTGTCTCAACCACCACCCGCCGCCGTCAACCGCCACCAACCGCCGGCCAACTTTGCCGGATGTTGAAAATTTTTACATGATCTTGTAGCTCTCCTTCGTGCCGACAACATATCCAAGTTTCACGAAAAAATTCCGACGATAAGGCTTCCAATTTTCCGGTCAAAGCTCGTAGATCTACAAATTTTATCCGGCTCTTTCGCAAATTCCCGGTGACTTGCTTTGACCCACGTGAATCCGAAGATACCGTTGAATTCCTCTCGCAAAGCTGCATCTATTGACGTCCACCTTCACCGAAATCAGTGACTTTTTTCGGTGACGACTTTTCCGGTCATCTTCTTATCGTCGGAATTTTTTCGTGAAACTTGGATATGTTGTCGGCACGGAGGAGAGCTACAAGATCATATAAAAATTTTCAACATCCGGCGAAGTTGGCCGGCGGCGGGTGGCGGTTGAGACACAATTGCAACACTTATGAAAGGTTAGTATTTTTTTTGCCAAATTTATAAAGTTGAGTTTTATTTGCAATTTAACAAAAGGTTAGGGTTTTATCTGCAATTAACCCTATAAAAATCCAAGTCACCTTATTATTAGTTCAATCTCATCCCACCCCATCTAAAAAAGTAAACAAGGCCTAATGGAGTTGGATTTCCCAGATGATATGCCATATCATTCCCCCTTAAAAGCCTCTTTGGCCAACAAAGCACTTCTCAAACAAGAATTCACATAAAAAAACAAATAGCTAGAAGAGAAGGATTTTAACTGAATAAAAATGTCTTCAACTATTACATTAACAATCAAGCGAAATTGGCGCTTCCTATTGAGATGTTGGACAATGTCCTTTCTTCCCAAGCAGCAGCACAAGTTCCTCAATCCCAACTTTATAGGGTTTTCCAGCACCCATCTGACAGCAACAAGAGCAACTCCCACTGAATCTCCCACAAAATTCTCAGAAGCTGACAACACTTGCACAATTTTCCCATCTTTTTCAGCAACACCTCCCAGACCACTCTTACCAATTGAGAAGATATGAGAATTGACAGTAACAAACAACTGTCCTACTCCCTTGAAAACATTCCTCTCAATTGTTTGATCTGTTTGCATAGTTCTTTCAGCTCCCAAAGCTACCTTTACTCCCACCGTACTCCTTTCTTGCTCCTTATAGCTCTTTCTCTTCTATGCATTCTCTTCTGAACACCCAACTATTTCTAGTCCTCTAAAGCCACAAAAGAATATAAGGTGAAAGACTTATTTTATCTTTGAGGCCTTTGGTATCATCAACATTACAAATTTCCCACAACCAGTTTTTGAAGGAAGTATTTTTATTCTCTAGCATACTCCAATTCACCTCACTCGATTTCAAGCAAACTTTAGCTCTAGAACATCTGAAAAATATATGCTCCAGGTCCTCTTCCCCCTCCCCACAAATATCATAGAATTCTTCCATTTCCACTCCCTTCTTAATTAATTGTTCTTGGTGCTCAGAAAACCAAACCAACATCTCCAAGGATTTTTTTTTTATAACTTACTCTTGACTGACACTCCAAGTTACTCTCCACAGATTACAACAAGTAGCCCTACTAGATTCAACACTCTCCTGTGACCTCAAAGCTCTTGAGATAATGGATTCATAAGTTGATTTAACTGATAACGACCCTTTTTTTATGTTGTAATATTAGCTTATTCATTAGTCCCAAATGGCTGAGAGGAATCTTCATAATGATTTCCGCATCAACAGGATTAAAGATTTGCACAATAAGATCCTTATCTCGCTCTCTCCCCCCGCCTAATTAGTTCCCAAACTCAATTAACCCTATTTCTATCACCCTGAAAACTGGCACAATGGTTTGAAAGTAGAGTTGTAAGGATGCAAGGAGAGTCCCAAATTTGAATTGATTTTCCATCACCTAATTGATACATAGTCCCCATTTTTAAATACTCTAGCTCCTAACCAACTCCTCCATAACCCAGGATCTTCATTTTTAGGTTTGATATCTAAAAGCTTATCCCTAAAACGTACCTCCCTTTAGGTTTAGCTAAGTGATCCAAACTGGCCCAATGAATATTATCTACTCCGGACTTATTTTTTCCCCACAATAACCAAGTTACTGTTGGAAAAACCAGTTATAAAACTTGGGTTTGATCCAGTAGTGACTGCATTTTTTATGGCTAAACATTTAATTCGGGTTGAATTAAATTGTGTAAAAAAAATTGACGTCTATATTTATTTTTCTCAAAACTGATTTTCGGTGAGTAACAAAAAATGATTAAAGTTAGTCATAAATGAGCACGCAAAACGATGATTATGAGAATCTAAGAGTCAAGATTCCTTTCCCATATTGAATTCTTAAACGAGATTAACTCTCTTTATTATAATAAAGAAAGTTGGAGAAGTCACAACAACAAAGCTATACACCGTATTGGTGTTGCTTTCGACCACACGCGCCGCTGGTCTGTCGGCTCGCCTCGGCACGGGCCCGGGACTTGGGCCTTGGTGTTGGTTCAGTTAAGATATGTCTACTCATGTGAACATTCAAATACTTAACGAATTGAATACTGATTTTGAAAGATAATCGAGTTATTTTTGCAATCAGACTAAACCTCATACCACATGTCGTTTTAATACTGAAACCCAACATAAGTATGATATCTCGAAAGTTGACAACTGAAAATAGGCTCTCGTTTTCTCTCTCCCCGATCAAAAAAATCCCCAAATCTCTATTTACCCTAGATTTGTGCTTGTCCGCCTTCTCCGGCAGAACGCCGAGCGCTTCGATGACGGCTGACCCATGGCTGCACGGCCCTCTCTCTGTGGTGTCTATGTTCGTTCGCTCGGGCCGGTGGGGTGGACGACGGTCCAAGAGGGATTCTCGTCATATTCCCGGGACGGCTCTTCGGGCCGGTGGTCGTCAATCTCACGGGTGGCGAGACTGTGGTGGGCGCCAGTGCTTCTGATAGGAAGGGATGTGGCTCCGACGACCAGACTGTGGGGGTCGGTCGGAGTAGAGGAGACTTAGCTCTTCCCCTTTGTTCCCTTGGTCTCTGGTGCGTGTGTCAAGGAGACGGCCTGCACGATGAGCCCTGGTCCCTGGTGTGGGCAGAGCTCGGGGCGGTGGTGGTGTGGTGGAGGTTTGGTTCAGTTTCCTCCGGCTGAGGGAGGGTTCGGTTGCTTGGGGGCGGGGTTGAGTTCTAGGGTCTAAATCCAGTTAAGTGCGTAAGTTTCAGTTTCTGGTTTTGGTGTCTGGGGCGAGTTCCGGTCCATATGGGGGGTCGGCCATAGGTGTTGCTGTCGTGGTTGCTTGGCGTGTTTCCGGATGTGAGAAGAGCTTTATCCTTTATTTTTTTTTAGTTTGTGATTGTGTTTTGTTAGTGTTTGGTGTGTTTGCTTTTATTTGTGGGATGTGTTTTTTTTCTCTCTTTTGGAGGAGCGTATTATTCTCCTATGGGGAGTTTGTGTTACTCTCCTGTGGGGAGCTTTTATTTTTTTTTATTGTGTTGTAGTGTGTGTTGTGGTATCTAGGCTGTCCTGAGTAGTCCTCCTCCTATTCCAGTTAGTTAGCGNTTTCGTTTTTTCCGAAAAAAAAAAAATATCATAGGCGTAATTAGGAGTGTTTCAATAATAAGCCTCACATTAAGGTCACGCAACAATCAGCAATTCATAAATACAACAATCTTTATCAATTTCCTGTTTTTCAAAAATTATGAACTCCACTTTCTAAAATATCAAAAGAAATTTAATTATTTATCTTTAATAACAAGTCAATCTTTATCCTTGATAACTAATCATGTGTTCTCCTGTTTTGTTGGGTATCCATCCGTATGTAGATCGAAATATGTGTAAAAACATTGCAAAATATAAGTACAAAATAGATTTAAAAATCAATTGCAAAAATCTTATTGATATAATTACCACAATACTATAAAAGAATTGATATTCCAACATTAATAACAAATCCTTACGATTTACTATTCATTTTGTAACAAGCCATACTAGTACATGACTCGTGCGATGCACGGGTAAATAATATTACTATTGTATTGTAAATTAAATATATAAATAACATTAATCATGATTTACCCATTGTTTTTAAATTAAATCGAGTTGAACAGTCCGACCAAGAATCGATTTATAACCAGTCTAGTTCGCTTGAATATAATATTTGTTATCGAACCCGTCAACACCAACCGATTGGACTGGAATTGATACGATTTTCTATATAAATTTTGTTACATTTAAAATTATTTTAAAGAAAAATAAATATTTAAATAAAATAGAGATTTATAAATTTTTTATCAATTAGTTTAAACATTTAAATTTTTAAATTTTTTCGATATTTAATAAACACCTTTACTTAAATTTATTACAAAAAGTACAATATATATATATATATATATATATATATATATATATATTAAAATAAAAATCTGAACAAACCATATATCATTAAATAAAATAACTTTAATCGTTTCGATTATGGTCTAATTCTGAGAACCTTATATTTAACGTAAATTAATAAAAATTATAATAACTTATTATTTTGTTCACATAAATATTGATAAAAAGGTATATAAATATTCATAAATCATTAAACATGATATCATAAAAGTATTATTAATTTGATTATTTGGAGTTTGGACTGCATCGCATTCACGTAATAAAATATTTTTAATATTAAAATTTATATTTAGGTCAATAATTAATTTGGTCTGATCAAACTGATACATAACTTAGTTACTTGGGATCAACCAGGTTGTGTCAAGTTTTTGGACTATTTTAAATATCACTTAAAAGTAATTAAATCAACCTAGGCAATACCTTAATTCAATCTCCCGATGATCCAAAGAAATTTCCTTATTTTCATTAAATATATTTAATTTTATGAATAAAAAAATTTTATGATTGATATAGTAAATTTCTACAGTAAATGATAATATGTTCAGATTATAAATTATATATCTAAAGATAAGTTAATTATTTTTTTACTTTATGCATATTAATAAAAAATAAACATAGTAATTTTAAAAAATTAAAATTAATTGATTGGTTATGCAATTGAAATGATGACTCGATACCAATATGAGTTACTCGTAGAAATGTTATTTTGTATATTAATTAATATTTTTGTATAACGTTATTCATATGTTATTAATATCATAAACCAGTAGTTTTACAACTAATAAAGTGCATTAAAAATAAATTAAATCCTCATGTTATATATAATATGAGACAAATTGTTGTAATTATTATGTTATATAAAAATTCATTATTTATAATTCAATTTGTGTAATATTGCAATAATAATTATAATTAGAAAAAATAATTTTCTTATTCTCTTAAAGAAAATTATTTCTAAGAAAATATACAATGTTAAAAAAAATACAGAAATTCTTTATTGTTTTGAGTAACTACAAACATTTGATGAATATTCTTATTTAATCATTTTGTGTTATAGAAGGGATATGTTTTTCTATACCAAGATATAGTTAATAAAGTTTATTATAGCTACTGGATTATTAATATATCACTAATATGCCTTAATTAAACATATCAAATTATTAATTGATTTTTTAATCTTACTTTCCTTTTTTCATTTCTAATACCTTTTCTCAGTTTTGCTATGGAGCCATCGGATGGCTTGGCTTATGGAGTCACACTTTTTTACCAATAGTGTATTGACACGTGTCCTGCAATAAATATACTTTGGACATCTGTCAATACATTCAGTGGTGGATGGCTCCATAAAAAAACCATCCGATTGCTCCATAAAATTTTTGTACCTTTTCTCCCAATATTTGATTACCAAAAATCATCATATACAAAACATAATTTTTAAATTTGGGATAATATCAAGAGATTGGTACGATGAAAGCCAAAAAATTAGAAAAATATATCAATTTAAAATTATGTGAATTACTATATTGGTAAGAAAAAATGACTTCTAGAATTGTAGGGTAGAGAATCAGAAATTTATTGTGATATTAGGAAAATTGTCAAAACTGCAATTGTTGGTAGGAATTTATTTTGGAGATCATATATGAAAGGCTAATTATTTTAATTACGGGATTATGTATATTTATATAAAAATTTTGTAGATATAAACAAATCAGTTGGAAATGGCAATCCGATTTGTAAGGACTCATTTTTTTATTTATTTTTGTACGGAACGATAGAGATATTATATATAACGCACAAATGTGCAAAAAGCAGCCACCAGCTGATTACAAACAGTCAACAGCTGAATACACGCAGTCAATAATTGAAAAAGTGGGAGGACATGTCAAAAGACCGCCTAGAACCGACCCAACGGGGTAATACTCAAGAACACTGAAAAAACACAAAACAACGAAAAAACAACAACACAAAGACCCCCCCAAAAAAAGGCAATCAGATTTTTAATAAAGATTTCGTAACAAATTTTATAATTCATTTAAAATGCGGACAAAAAAATTTCCAAAAAAGGCAATTCAAAATTTTTTTGGAAAGAAATAGTTACTATTTAAAAAATAATCAAACCTTTTTATATAGATATAGATATCAAAAATCATCTATTCAAGAAGTTTAAAATATCATTTGATTTTATCAATAACTGCAATAAACCAACTTTTTAAAAGTTCAATGCGATTCACAATGTCATAGTAAATCTCTTATAAATAGATTAGAAAAAAAAATTATTTATAATATTATAAATTATAACAAAAAAAATAATATTGATGTATTAAAAAAATAATATTTTCTTGACTTCAAAAGAATATGTATTACAATATTTTTCAATTAAGCATGGGTTGTACAATTTGTCACAATTTTTCAACTTTAGCCTAAGTTATTTAAAAAACGAAATAATATAATGTAACCAGATATGGGTAAGAGAAGATAGAAGGACAAAAGTATCCTGTGAGTATTATTTATTGATAATATTTGAATATGTTAAAATTTCAATATCCTATAAACATGATTTAAAATGACAACTATTTTATAATGCGTGAAATACACATATAAATTATATATTTAATTATTGTATATCAAAAAAAATTTAAAAAAATAATTATTAATATTCGTATTTTTGTACTAATCGATATTCTCTCATTGCTTGAATACATGTAAATATAATTATTATCTCCTAAATTGTACGCACGGGCTATGTGCTAGTTTTAATTAATAGTTGAGTAGATAATGGGTGAATACAGAAAATTTGATTGACATAATAAAATACTTGGTCAAATTAATTGATAAAGAAAATTTCAATGGGTTTTTTTAGGAAAAGGAAAAAAAATCTTATTTTCTGTCAAGAATCTAGATGAATCAATTAAAATAGTTTACCTCAATATGTTTCATAAGTTCATTTCAAGCTTTTAATTAATCATGGGCCTAAAATTATTAAGGACATTAAAAATTCATATAATATTAGTACACTAAATTCGAGGTCACCAGGGTTATAGCTCAGTAAACAATAAGAATAGCTCCGCCCCTGATTGTCTCATTTCTTCGTGGAATCATGGAGATGGAGATCGATTCCCCACCACAATTGCTGGCTGAAAAGTTTGAGAAAACCCTAAGAATTGAGGATGATGATTATGTCTTCGTTGAGGAGGAAGCAGAAGAATCAGAAGAAGAAGAATCATCATCAGAAGAAGAAAAACAACAACCACCACAACAACAACGAAGACAACAACAACAAGTACCACGCGGTTACAATCCCTCCTCTGTAATCTGGGATGAGCCACAAGAAGACCAAACCAATTATACCTATCAACAACTCTGCTTTGAGATAGCCGACGAGGTCGCCAAAGATTTCATCCACCAAGTCGACGAGAATCGGGTACGCTGTTTCGATTTATCTATCAATACCATCTGTTTCGTAAGGGTTTTGGGGTTCTCAATCTAATTTGATGTTTTGTGTTTGGGAACACAGCACACATACTAATAGATAATGAAAAACGTGTAGAGGTTGATTGTTGAGGATTTGATTTTCAGTTTGGCGAGTTTCCGTGGCCACCTGATCTTAGTTGCCCACTGTTCCGATATGGGTATATTTGTCGGTACTTAATAAAGTTGGAGCCAGAAGATGTGGGATCTATGGTGGTGCAGTTTTCGATAAAATCGAACCCTGAAGAAATGGAACGTGCTAAGAGATTTCTAGAGCAAATGCGGAGCAGCTGGGTAGCTTTAATTTCTTTCTTTCACAACTTTTTGATTATTACTATACATATGTTTGTTTGATGAGTGGTTAAGAAATAAATGGGGAGTCCAGTGATAAACTAATAGCAGTTGGACCGTCTGATGATTCTAATTCTTTTGGTGGTTGAAAATATGTGTTTTGTTTTTGTTCCTTGTTTCCTACTTACTAATATTATACAATATTGCAATAGGTTGATGAAAGTTGGCATGTGCGAAAATGCAAGTGAGAAATGTTAAAAGTGTTTGTACTTTCAATTGTTTGCTAGGGTTATGATCTCGATTGCGATCCTCCTCATTGGTTCGGCTGTTCAATTTACCCCATAGTGCTGGAGGATGCAGCTGAGGCAGAGGAAGCAGCTCAGGCAGAGGAAGCAGCTCGTTGGGCAATAAGCAGAGTCAATAAAGTGGCTGGGGTATGTATAATGTAATGTGGGTTTGGATGGATTACTAGTTAAAAAGAGGTGGTCATGATTTTATTTTATTTTATTTTTTTATTTATGGTTCATTTTTTCAGGAAATGGGCAAAATTGACATGATGTTGGAGCTTAAGAGCCTGGACAAGGCTGTGAGGGGCTGCTTCAGCGTGTATCTTGTGAGCTTTACGGTGAAGACTGTTTTGGGAGATGCCATTAAAAAAGTGAGGGCATCGGTTGGGTTTGCACCGTCAGCTCCAGCTCCCATTCTGTTGGAGTGCAAGCTTGTGCCGTAGTTGACTTTCCTACTACACTACTACTCGATAACTCCACTTGGCATTTTTTATTATTTTGTTTGGTTTTCAGACTGTTTTGACTTCTTCCATAACCCATTTGACAACATCATTTTGAACTTATGAGCAGTGGGAATCTGAACCTGACTGAATGTACAATATTCCTACCTGGCATAAGTTCAATCCCACGTTCAGTGGCCCTGCTCATTTTTCTCATATGTAGTCACTGGTTCATTCCTCTCCTACTCAACGCAGAATCACTCAAAACCGTACCTCGTCATAGATTTTGAACTATACTAACTATGTTCGCATATAATTTTACTGATGTCATACATTTACTTACATTTACCAAGTATCCCGTAACTCATGTTTTTCTTAACATCAACAACAAAATAAGCATACAAACACATGAACACAAATACAACTTAAAAAAAAATGAAAATTGAGAAAAAAAAATAACAAAAAAAAGGTAAGGCACTCAAGCAGTTGCAATATAACATGAAATTGGATATGCAAAACAAGCACGAATACAAAAGCAAACAAATGGAGTCATTTTTATGATCGATGCCAATATGTTGTATCTCGCAAATGTAAGAGTGAGAATATTAATTTATGAGGAGGAAAACTACAATCATACAAGAAAAGTACCGAAATATACTCTGTATTGAAAAACAAATAATAGTATATAATTACTAGCACAATTATATTTTATCGATTTAGATAATTGGTAATAATTACAGCCCGTGCAAAACAAGTACGGGTTTTGAAAGATAATCTGAGTTATTTTTGCAATCAGACTAAACGTAGGTCGTTTTAATAATGGAACCCAGCAACACCTGGATCGGATTAAAATTATGAGATCCAATCACAACTTCACCCTCAGTTCACATGAAATTAAAATTTATGATTTTTTTTTTTTGAAAAAATATCATAGGCGTAATTAGGTGTGTTTCAATAATAAGCATCACATAAAGGTCAAGCAACAATCAGCAATTCCTAAATACAACAATCTCACACCCTACAGGAAACTCACTCCAACTAACACTTGACAAAAGAGAAGGAAAAGGTGAACCAGGAGAAAGGAGACCGGTAGAAACCAAGAGGTGAATGAATATAAAGGGAAAAAGACAGCTCTGAAATATAACTGAAACTGCAAATACAAAAGCATACATTGTTCTTACATAAAACTAAAGCACACGAGAACAAACATTGATGGATCATAAAAAACCATTCACAGCTAAGTCAAAGATCATGCGGGTGCCTACTCAGCTGTCCTCAGATGTTGCATGCCTGCAAACATACCAACAAATCAAAACACGAGACCCCTTCTTCTTCATATCCCATTAATTCAAACCAGATGTTAAACTAACGAATTGATAATGCTAAATGATGACGAGACATGGAACAAAGTGATTATGTTTGAGCTCAAAGCCTGAAACAATCTCAACGTATCCTGATTTATAATGCTTGTGGTCATAACCACTCATTTTCAAAAGGAAACTGAACGTGAATGATTCAATCTTAAGAATTCATGAATTTCATATTACATTGCTTTCCATACAAGGTTCAAAAACAGACCTCCAAGAAGTAGTTAAGTTACGAGCTTTTCTATCCAGCTGCAAATTTTCCAGAGCAGCTGAGGCACGGACTACATCTTCAGGAACTTCATCATTTTCATATCTCCAATTGTACTCATCTTTCCTATAACTAGACGTAGATGAGCCAGCTCGACGATCTGAAGGAAAATCATCATAAAAACTGTAAAAGCACAAAATATTAAAAAAAAAAAATGACGTTGCAGGACAACTTCAAAATCATTGACTACTTACCAGAAGATTGTAAAGTAGGAAGAGGCCTATAGTGAGCACCAAATCAACCAAAAGTTACTAACCAAAACTTCAAAGAGCAGTTATGAAGGAGGAATAAGAAGAAGGGGAAAATGATTATTGATAGTATACCTTCCAAGTGGAGGTAACCCCCCAGTAACCGATGATGATGAAGGTCTCCTAATGTTACGAGCTTCCAAATTGGATAGTGATTCAGCATCAGGTGTGGTTAATCTCCTGTTGCTAGTCCTTCCTTGAGATAAATTCTGAAATCGCACATGTCAAAATTGTGACAGAACACTAATGCTTCTAAAGAAGACGGAAAATGATAGGAATATTAATTCTAGGATCTCGTATCCAGGAACAAAATATCTAATTTATTATTATTATTTTTTTTTACAAAATGTACCAGGTGTGAATTGTTTGGGGAGAGGAAAAAACACTACAAAAACTAAGGATAATCACAAACACGGATGTGCGCGCACAGACATTTGCATTTAGCGAGAGAAAACAAAGGCTAACAGAATTTTTTGAAGTTTATCCAACAGAAAACAAAAAATGATTACAAAGCTTGAAAGAAAAATAAATATCATCACACCTCATACTTCAAGAACCCCTCAAGAACATCCAAAAGTAAAGGGCCGCTGTCTCCATTCCGGTTAAGATCATATCCATTCTTGCTGCTAAATTCTTTTAACTCTGATTTCCAGGAATCCTTTGGCTAAAATTGACAAGGAAGTTAATTAACAAAATGCACATCATATCATAACTATAATAGAAAGAGTAGCAGGATGCCGATTAAGTACCAAATTACACTCTGGTAAGTACACTTTCAAGGTGTGGTTTAATTCAGCCCAATCGAGATATTCACATATCAATGCAGTCAGAAGTCTTCCTACAAACCAGATAGATAGTTCAAGGATATTCTATTAGCTCACTCAATGTCACAAAACCTGGAACTTTCTGCGTAGAGTCTAATGCACAAATTTAGATGATAATGGAGAAGCAAATCTTCTACGCTGTTGCAAGTACCATTACATACTAAATACAATACAGTATGATGTCTGCTACACAGAGGATGAATACAATAAAGGGACATTATTCTATCTGGGGCTAATGCAGAAGACATGGAAGAAGTATAACCAGCACATAAGTTCTGGGGGCTAAAAAAGGAAAAAAAAAATTGTTGAAACTTGAAAAACCTGACGGCGAATTGTGGAGTTGCTTTGCCTGGTCATTGCAGCTGCCCAAAAGAGCAGGAGGAAGTCCTTCGTCTTTCTCTATCACACTATCTTCCTCTTCTATTGCTTCAAACACACTAGCTCTTAGTTCAGCCTAGTAACCGAGAAAATCACAAGCCTCAGCTTCTAGTGTGAAACAAAACAACTACAGCTGCTTTTTTCGCATATCAAAGGCTGAACATCAACCCAACAAAAAATGGTTTCTTTTCATCATAGTGTTTACATGCACTTTATTCAGCAGATTGCCATTTCCTGCATATCCCTATGTTCTATTTGTGTTATAATTCCATCTACTTATAATAGATAGGAAGCTAGGGCACAGAGAAAAAAGTAATATATGGGGAACATTACAACTCTTCGACAAAGTAGCCAATAAAAACTTCAAACCATCACCCTGCTATTATATCCGACTGCAATCAAATTCCACCTTCCAATTGCGTATAACGAAGAACTTAAGAAACTCAAAAGTTCACATAATCAAGAACCAAGGATTCTCTCTTCAGCAAAATCTAACCACAAATAGAATCCATTCATTTACAAACTTCCAAGAGTCCAAATCTGAAGCTATGTAAGCAGGAGATCAGTTGTACCAAAATCAACTACCAGATGAAAATGGAAAAAGAAAACCAAACAAAGAATTCCCCCATACATACATAAAATAAAATATGCAAGAATTCAGTACATACAATATACACAGAAATACTCAAAAACACCAAATAATCCATACAGGATACGCTATTTCTCAAACTAAAAAGTCAAAAAGAAAAAGGTATAAACCTAAAAAAATGGCAAATTATAACAAAACAAAAGCGAACCCAATTAAGCAAAAAGAAAGAAGAGAGAGTGGCAATGCTAACACGGATCTTGGCAAGGACGCCTTTCTTCTCAAGAGTACGTGTAACGAGGGTTTTTAAATCCATCATTTCTCTCGTATAATCGTCCATCTTCTTTGAACGATCCCAAAATGTTGAGGCCCTTCTTCCAAGATTGACAATTGAAGGGCCGTCGTTGGTTTAATTGTCTGATTTTCGAGTTTCGGGGTTTTTTATTTTTTGATTTTTTTTTTTCCCCAGGATTTTGCAGAGTTCGAACTTCGAACTGAGATCACGACTCCAGGTCACGACAAAAAAAAAATTCTACAAATATAATTTTTAGAAAAAATAAAAGGTAATTTATATTTATTTTAATATTTCTTTATATTAAAAAAGTCTTATATTTTATTATTTATAAATAAAGACCACGTTTCATAGATTTGGAACACAATTGCAATTTTTCTCTAGGAGCTCACTTTATATGACCTTTGAGTTCTAACATCCTCCCATCTGACCTTTACTTATACCTTATTTGCTCAAGCTTTGCGCGTTTTCAGACGAGGTCAAACACTGATAACAAGTTGAAACTTCATAGAACCAATCATACACTTGACCTAACGACTCAAATCGGTTCAGTGAACTATTCTGATTGTTATATCAGTATAACTAAGTCGTGTAGTTAGGAGTCATCCTTTGGGTTTATTTTGTTCATTTAGCATAACGACATTATTTTATAATTTTTTTTTTTATTATTATGAACTATAAATATGGCACACTTTGTAGTCTTTATGAATTTTTGTTGAGCTAAGAAAATGAATTCGGTGAATTCAACAACTCTGTCCCAAACTGATAATGGAACTCGATCAGTTATAATATTTTCTACTATTTGATTCATCTATAATAATTATTTACTACTCTTTCGTTATGTTTTGTAAGTTGATATATCTATTGTTTGAAAAGTTCGTTACTATAAAATGATTGACAAACTTTATACACAACAATTCAATTCGTAAATTAATGAAACTCCCAACCGTTGAAAACTTTTTCCGACTCAAAATTTCTATAACCAATAGTCAGTCACCTCATTAAAACAAATCCTCCGTCGCACACATGAGACGCCGGAGCTGTAACCTCGCCGCCCACCACCGTCTCTCAGCCGCCTCACTTCTTCAACAATTGAAGCCCCTCATTTTCTCCTCCCTTTCCAATTCCCTCTCCACATTAAGCACGGTTCAGCTCCCTGCCCGTGATGACGTTGGCCAGTTCCAGGGCGTGATTCATGACAAAGACCTTCTCAAAACAGTCCCGCCGGTTTGTAGCCCTTTTGTGAAGACAAAAATGAAATGTAGCCATGTTTTTAAAAAAGATGAAATCTAGTCATTTTAGGGGTTAAAAGTACTAGTCTACCCTTACTAATGTTTACCTACCAAAAATAATAATAAAAAAAAGATAAAAAAAGCAAAAAGAGTGAGCATATGTCTCGTATTAATTGTTGGTGGTCTTCCTCCTCCTCCATTGTTGCTTCCTCCTCCATTGTTGCCCAGCGGTTCAAAAAAAAAAAAAAATTACTCATCTTCCCAAATTTCACTTAAGTGAATCATCTCAGTCAACAATCATCTTCAAGACCACTAAGTGAATCCCCTTTTGAGAAGAAAAAAAGGTACATTGACCTAAACCTAATTTTGTTTTTTTTATTATGTTAAATAATTTTTTTTCAAACATTTATTATTTTGGTTCTCACCATTATTGATTTGTCTTGCACTTGCACCATTTTATTGTGTTGAAGTAATATTTTTTTAGATTTAAAAAATTCGTGTTTTTGTGCTTGAAAAAGAGGGGTTGTGTTTTGGAGTTCATTACTTTTATTGTACAGTTTCTTGAGGCGTTTTTTGGAGTTTTAGGAGTTGAAGTAATCGTTTGTTGAAGAATATACAATTTATTGAACAAAAAAAAGTTTCTTCAACAAGAAAGGACAAGTAACAATTTCTTCTTGTTCAACACGCAGTTTCTTGAGCAAGAAACCTGTTTGAACCTGTTTGATGCTCAAGAAACACGTTTCTTGACTTCTTTCTCAAGAAATGGGTTTCTTGAACAAGAAACAGGTTTCTTGAAAAGAAACAGGTTTCTTGATCAAGAAACCTGTTTCTTGAGCAGAAACAGGTTTCTTGATTAAGAAACTTGTTTCTGCTTCAAGAAACCCATTTTTTGAGAAGAAACAGGTTTCTTGAGGTTTATTGAAGAATAAATTTCTTCTTGTTCAAGAAATTGTGTCTTGTATTCATATATGTTTGTCCAAACACATTTGAAGGTAAAAAAAAGGTTGAAGAAAGTATTTGTACTAAGATTGTGTTTTTTATTTATTTTTTTTTTCAGATGGATGTTGGTAAAGTGCGAATTGCTCACAGTGGCTTTTGGGATGGGAATGACTACAAAAATGGTGAGACAGAGATGAATTTTTTCTGTCTTAGGACCTCATCATATGAAGCTTTCATAAACAGAGTTCATGACATTGTTCGTGGAGATAGAAACATGTGCGACTACCGATTTCACTTTTTAGTGGCCGCTGATAACGGAGAGGTGGAGAAATGGCGTATCTCTTGTGAAGCAGATCTGCGAAATGTGTCTGCCATGTTCACAATACCTACTATCTATGTTACACTACAACCGAAAGATAGTCCAGGTCCGTATAATCAGGCGAGTGTACCAGCGTACCCTTTGTATGGCTATACCGGGGGACAAGGTGGGTTTATGAATTTAGTTGCTGCTCAGGGCCCACCTCTCTATCCATATGGTGCTGTGTATCCACCTATAATGAACTTACACAGTCAACCATCAACATCTCATCCGGCGAACAATTACAACCCGGTGCCCGACACCACCAGAAGGATGGAATCAAATCAACCCGGTGCCTCACGTCAATCTCCCGAACATGTCGATTGGGGTGTGGATAGCGGGTTCAATGGGGATTCAACTGAGGATGATGAAGGTGATGATGACGAGCAATATTGTGATGCTTACAATAATGATATGAACATCAACGATAATCCTTGCAATGACGATTTCCCCAATGAGATGGATGATAGCAATGACGATTCGGATTTCGTTATTGAAGAAGATGATATGCTTGTCTCGGAAGAAGGTGATGATGGCGACGACAATGTTGTGTGCCCCTCAAACATGATGGGTGGTTTAAATGAGCATATTCTACGCAACAAGAAGAGTATAGCGATCCACAATGTTCCTCGACTTGACCTTTCTGGAGGTGTTGCTATTGAAGAGGACGATTTGATTGAAACGGGTACTCGTTCGAGTAGCGGTTGGAGGATTCCCGAAGCCATTTTTCACAATGTTGATGTTCATCCCTCGTATGAAGAGCCGTCAATGACAGTCCGTGAATTAGCCAAAGGCGTTGTCATTGAAAGTAAGGATGAATTGACGGTAAAAGTGGGTTTATATCATTTGAAGCATAAAGTGGAGTTCCGAACGCCAAGATCTTCACAGTCTCGGTTAAAGTTGGTGTGCAAGCATAAGAATTGCCAATTCTTGCTTTCTGCGAATGCACTGACTGGAGGTAGTTGGAAAATTTCAAAATTTATCCATCCACATACATGCTTCGTTAACCTGAGTCATTCAGCCCCTCGACAATTGCCTACAAAGATCATTGGAGCATTATTCGCGCCGAAGTTGTTGACAGAGGGCCGAGTATTGAAGCCTGCAGAAATTATGGGTGACATGGAGCGTGATCATGGCATTAAGCTCAAGTACGATACAGCCTTGAGGTCTCAAAATGCCGCCTACGACTTCATTTATGGAGATCACAAGAAATCTTGGGAACTTTTGCCCGGCTATTTCCATATGTCGATGAAGGAAAATCCTGGAACATCGGCATACATTGAGACCGATAAAGATGACGTGTTTGAGTATGATTTCATTTCTTTGCATGCGTCTGCAGGCTTCCTCAATTATTATCGGCCCGTGATTGTAATTGACGGTACGCATTTGAAGGGTAAGTATAAAGGCATCCTATTTGTAGCAGCTACAAAGGACGGAAATGAACAAATTTTTCCTCCGGCATTTGGTGTCGGCGATGTGGAATGTCATAGTTCGTGGATGTGGTTTCTCCAAAAGCTTCGCTCCACTTTTGGATGTCCGGAGAATTTGGTGATTGTTTCTGATCGCCACGTGAGCATAAAGTCTGCTATCGAGGTTGTCTACCCTGAAGCCGTACATGCCATATGTTCGTACCACCTTCGGCAAAATATTCGAAGTTACGGTAGTAAAGCCGTTGTTTATATATGAAAGCATCATACACTTATTCTCCTGTTGTGTACGAAAAGTCGATGGCTATGCTTGCGGCAAAATATCCAAAAGTATTGAATGTTCTGATTGATGAAGCCATTCCAACTAGGTGGGCACGAAGTCAATGTCCTGCGAGACGATATAGTTTCATGACGTCAAATGCTTGTGAGGTGCTGAACAATAGATTGCGTTGGGCACGGAAATTGCCGGTATGCTCATTGTTTGAATGTATTCGAAACGTTATGCAAGAGTGGTTTCACAAAAGACGTGTCGAGGCAGAAAACACTGAGTGTGAAGTTACTCCATCAATATCTAAGCGTTTAATGGATTATAAAACCGAAGCGGACCAAATGGAAGCTTCAAATATCAATCACTACGTTTATCACGTGAAGGACGGGGTCAAGAATTTTGTCGTCAATTTGAAGGATCGGACTTGCACTTGTTATCTCTTTCAGGTCGATTTATTGCCCTGTTCACATGCGATTAAGGCTATCGGGTAAATTTTTCATTATTTTTTTTTATTTAATAAAAGCCTCAATGTTTACTTATTGTCATCTTACCCATAAGAAAATGTTATATTGTGTTCCATTATTTTGTTTTCTATGCATGTACCATTGTTAGGAAGGCAAACGAATCGGTGTTCGGATATGTGCACGACTACTACAAGACCACAACATGGCGTAAACTTTACGAGCCCATAATCATGCCAATTGCGCATCCAAGTACTTGGGACTTAACTACAGCGACTAGTTTGATGGTTGTGAAATGCCCTTTTGATCCCAAGCAAGCCGGAAGACCGAGGTCAAACCGCATACCTTCTACTGGCCCTTCTTCGAACTCTCGACGTAAATCATTTTGTACACGATGCCGCGAAAGTGGGCATTACTCTACAACTTGTGATGCGTTTGTCTATAATGTTGAGCAACTAACTCAATCTGAACGTCCCGGTACCAAAGTTCGTTTATGTGGTAAATGTAAGCAACCCGGCCATCGTAGGAACAAGTGTCCTCAAAACATTTCCTAGTTGTTTTGATTTTTTTTTTATTTGTTGTTTTTTATTTATCGTAAATGAATGTTATTTGTATGAAGTATGGATAAATTTATTTGTGTTGTTTGTCATATTTTTGTCCCGGCATTAAACCGAACATCCATTTTTTAAATTATTAAAAAAAAAATAACGATGTGAGCCGTGGCTGCGATATGGTTATTCGAACTTCAGACATGAATGAAAAAAAAACCAAAAAGTGCCGCGGCCGCGACCCTCCTCCGCGAGGTAATAACCATTTATATAAGATGAAATATTCATGTTAAAACGTATTGAAATAATACGTTTTATAAGTAAAATTAATATTTACAATTTTAATTAACTTCATTACCGTTGTTAATTTTTTTAAAAAAATGAATTCAATAAATTCGTTTTATAGGAAAAAACGTAGTTATGTAATCCGTTTTATGCTAAAACGGATTTGTGTAATACGGCCTTTTGGATTTTTTCCACTCAGTTTTTTTTTTTTTTTTTTTTTTTTTT